GGTTCAAATCTAAGATGATGAGAAACAACATCGATCGATGACTACACAAAGGTTCGTAATTTTCGAACTTAGTTTTTCGAATCAACCATAAATCTCACATGTACTGTATAGATCTATTTATTGTATATTGGTTCTTAATTATTATGTTCAAAGTTTGAATTTTTCTTACAATTTGATGTTGAATCGAAAGGGCAAAAAAACAAATTCCGGAGTTACAACGGCCGTCCGGTTCAAATCCAAGCTGATGAGCAAGAAATTGATAGGCGTCTACTAAAGGTTCGTAAATATTTGATATGTGTTCATTTGTTTTAGATCTATTGTTTATTGCATTTTGTTCGATAAGCAAATTATTGTTTCAAAAGCAAACCTTTATGCTCAAGCATTTTTTTCAAGTGAACTCGTTTTGTTTTTTAAAAAAATTGTATTTTCTTTTAGCATGCAATTCATAAATCCTTGGTTAGTGTATAGAACGCAAACATGCTATAAATTGAAAATCCATGAAAATAAGGAAATATAATGTTAGACCGTATATTTCTGTAAATTCTAGCCATTTTTTGCAATTGTATGTTTGTCTATGTTGAAATCTAGTTCACCTGTGGACTGAAGGATAATAAGGATAAAGAAACAAATTCTTAATCCGTAGGTAATTAGCTAAAATATTGCACTAATTTTATTGTATTAGATTTAAGTTACAATACTCCATAGACACATTCAAAATTAATAATAATAATAATAATAATAATAATAATAATAATAATAATAATAATAATAATAATAATAATAATAATAATAATAAGGTATTGTTATTGTACTAATGAAACATTTTTATACAATTGAGTTTTATCATTTTTATTGAAAATATTGTTATTAAGCATGTGTATTTTGTTTGTACAAAATGCATGTACTGGAAGCACTCAACCATGAGTAAAAAATTACATAACCAAAGAATCATTACACACAAATAATCCTAATATGATATGCAGTAAGGTATGTTTTGCATAAATTTATATGAAATATCATTTTCTTAACAATTAATTAGATATTAAAGTTGTTACCTTGGAATATGTTTGTTTGATTAGCTTTTTTGCTTCGCTTGTTGAATAATTGATTATTTAGTGAACTACATTTGTGTTTCCATCTGAATCGTGCAAAGATTCTTTCAGTGAAATATTAGACATGTTATGCATCTGAATATATTAGACATTGGGTTCTATAAAATTCATTTTTTTTTATCTGCATCTGAATGAATGAAGAAAATCTGGAATATAATTTATGGCATACATGATGATATGGATTCTAAAAGGCTTATCTTGGAATGTGTTTTCTTCAATGGCTTTTTTGCTCCTTTTGTTGAATCTCTTATGTGTTGAACTGACTGTATATGATTTTCGCAAAGTTTTCTGTATATGAATTGATGGTTATGTTATGCAGTGGTTTATGTGATAGTAAAAATTAATAAAATATTAATCAAATTATGAGGATACATGAAATATATGTGCCCAAAATTACAAAAAGTGCATCAGTTTTTTAAGCATTTTTCCTTTTCATTGACATAGTTGAAGCACGACTACGTATATACATCTTTATATGACGAAAATTTATTTAAGCATATGTACTAAATTACCAACTGAAGCACGAACGATTGCAATGTTTCTTCTAATCCCATTATTGAATTTCTTGTTTGCCGACTCGAACTCGTTTTATCTGACGACATCTTCGTTCATTGAAGTCACTCCAATTCTGCTAATAAAAACAAAAGGAATTGATTTACCGAAACTAAAATCAAATGTGAAAAAACGCAATGAATTGATATATAAGGGTTGTACACGGTTGAATTAACTGCGATCTTCAATTGATATTTTATGAATGGCCTTTGAAGAGTTTATGTGAACATAAACACACGTGAATTTATCAATGTGAGTCAGCATCTTTAATAGAGAGAATATAGGATAGTTAGCTCTATATTGGCATTAAAATCTCTTAATAGAGAATACAGGACAAATTAGGAATGTTCAATGCAAAAGAATTTTTTGAAATCTTTAATAAATTTGGAGAGAATTAGACACGATTAACATTTGAAAAAATCGCATCTAAATTATTCAATGATTTTTTTTTTTCCATTTGGCATGTGATATTGAACCTTTTTGTAGGTGATATATTTTATTTTATGCGTGTATCTGTGCTAATTTGAGAGTGTCCCACACAAAGCGGCATTTGAAATTTTTATAAAAGAATGCACTAAAAAATGTCTAATTGAAAATTGTGTTTGAAGTGTGTTAAAAATTGGTCCATGAACTCTTTTATAGTTTTTGAAAATATCAATAAGAGCCACGTGTGAGATAGTTTTCACGTATCCGAATAGGTAAGTTTTTTTTTGCCTAAATTATGTGGTGTGTGATTTTTAGGTGGATTTGTTTCCTGTAGAACTTATACGTAGCCCGTGCGATGCACAGAATAGTAATTATAAATTTATAATTGAATGTATTAAACCAATGAACCAATATTGATCGGTATAAAAGTAATTTAAGTAATAATAATTATTTATTATTTTATTGATTGATATATAACAATTTAGTATATGATATATGTGCTTATTTTGCTTGCTATAAAATAATCGTCATTTTATAAAATGAAAGGTGAGAATATCTTGATTTATATATAAATTGAAATATAAATGGAATACTATTTGTAACATCAGTGAAGGGCATATGATTTGAAGCATTTGATGAATTGCCCGATTTAATTGTCATCTGTCGTTTACTAACAACAGGTGATCCATTGCGGAAAATCGAAATTCATAGTATCTATATAAGTAAAATTCAAAAAACTAAAATAATAGACCAACACATTATGTAACATATTCAAATTATGTAAAGCAGCTTAAGTAAACAAATTATCGGGTCCATTAATTAAACACATAATTTTACCAAAAATATGGTCCCAATAAAACAAATAATGTAGGCCAATTCATATATATTTTTTTTTAAAAAAATATATATATATTTTGGCCCATTTATATAAATGAAAAAACCTGTTAATTATATTTTTTTTACTAAAACGGGCCAATTAATTAAGCACATAATGCATGCAATAAAAAGAAAATGAAGCCCAATATCTATATTACAAATGAAAGAATGTCGGCCCATTGACAAAGAATTTACCGGTTAAACTATCCCTTTAATTCAACACAAATTTATACCAGCAAATTAATTTCAGTAAAAAAATTTTAATTGTTTTGCATCGAATGGTCCAGTTCAAATCAGAGATTAGGAGCACGAGATCGACCGACGACTACACAAATGTATGATTTTATTTGTTTTCATTTTTTGTTGAATCTACCATGAATTTGACTTGTAGTTTATAGATCTGTCATATTCTCTGCTCGTTCAGATCTGTGTAAGCTAATAATTTTATTTTTTTACTAATTTTGTATTGAGACTTCCGATTTTGTGATATCTTAATGTATGTTTTGTTCGATTTACGAATTCTAATAATTGTCTTTTGATTTTTGATATAAGAAGGGGAATTTCACGACGAAATTGAAGGTTGGATGTCGATCTGAGGTACACCGTTCGTTAGGTTCAAATCTAAGATGGTGAGAAACAACATCGATCGATGACTACACAAAGGTTCGTAATTTTCGAACTTAGTTTTTCGAATCAACCATAAATCTCACATGTACTGTATAGATCTATTTATTGTATATTGCTTCTGAATTATTATGTTCAAAGTCTGAATTTTTCTTACAATTTCATGTTGAATCGAAAGGGCGAAAAAACAAATTCCGGAGTTACAATGGCCGTCCGGTTCAAATCCAAGCTGGTGAGCAAGAAATTGATAGGCGTCTACTAAAGGTTCGTAAATATTTGATATGTGTTCATTTATTTTAGATCTATTGTTTATTGCATTTTGTTCGATAAGCAAATTATTCTTTCAAAAGCAAACCTTTATGCTCAAGCATTTTTTTCAAGTGAACTCGTTTTGTTTTAAAAAAAAAAATTGTATTTTCTTTTAGCATGCAATTTTTTTATTTAGTGTATAGAACGCAAACATGCTATAAATTGAAAATCCATGAAAATAATGAAATATAATGTTAGACCGTATATTTCTGTAAATTCTAACCATTTTTTGTAATTGTATGTTTGTCTATGTTGAAATCTAGTTCACCTGTGGACAGAAGGATAATAAGGATAAAGAAACAAATTCTTAATCCGTAGGTAATTAGCGAAAATATTGCACTAATTTTATTGTATTAGATTTAAGTTACAATACTCCATAGACACATTCAAAATTAATAAAAATAATAATAATAATAATAATAATAATAATAATAATAATAAGGTATTGTTATTGTACTAATGAAACATTTTTATAAAATTGAGTTTTATCATTTTTATTGAAAATATTGTTATTAGGGTTATTTGGATCTGTACCATTGTAACTCTTTGTTATTTGAGATGTACCATTACATTTCATGTAATTGGAGATGTACCATTACAATTCAATCTTTCTTTGACAAATGTCATTTTCTACGTATGCTAGCACCTTGGGCCCATTGTCAGGATTATGAGGACGGTATGTATTTCCGTATGGACATCTTTGCCCCTCTCCCAAAGCTGAAGGCTATCGCTCGTACCCTTCCCCTTCCCGTCGCTCGCTCCCTTTCTTCCCATCACTTCTCGCTCGTTTTCATCCCGAAACGACGTTGGCGGCCGGAACCCTAACCCTAGGCGTCGCCGGTGTCCTGGAGGTTGTCCCCACCCGCGCACGCATCCCTCTGCAGCATCTTCATCCCTCCCCAGCGACCTCACAATGGCGTTCTCTTGAGCGCCATGGCTGACCCCGCGGACATGGAGCACGACGAGGACAGGTATGGAGCTCGATCCTTTAATCTCTTGGGTACCCTAATCTCTTCGATCTGATGCAAGTTGATAGAGGAACTTGCACTGACGCTAGTGTTTTTATGGGATTCATTTGCTGCTAGGGTTCGATTGTTTTCCATGGATGGTTGGCCATCCACAATCGCAGATGTTGATGCTTTTCAGTCCCTAGAGCCTATATGTGTGGTTCCTCCAGATGCTAACCAAGATCCACAGCCAAATCTTACTAACCATGCTGAGGAGCCTAATCCTGTTAGCCCTAGTGCTCAACCAGATGGCGGAGCAGAGCCTGAACTAGAGCCTGACAGGGAGCCAGACATGTTTGATAATGAGGAGGAATATGTGGGTGTTGATGATGAGGCAATGTACATGCCAGTACCTCCTCAGTACACTAACAATGTGCAGGCTTCTAACCATATTCCTCCAGAACCATTTGTTAATGTCGTTGCAATCGATGATGAGACAGAGGTTGATGATGCAGATCCACAGGAGGTCCATGTGATCTATGATCCACAAAACCCCAACATTGTCAAGGGAGCACGGTTTCCTGATATTATTTCATTCAGGAAGGCAATTAGGCATTATGCAGTGAAGAAAGGCTTCGAGTTTGCTAATTTGCAAACTGATCCATCAAGATTTATTGCCAAGTGTAAAGCAGAGGGGTGTCCATGGCGCATCCATGCTTCTAGGATTTTTGACGGCAAGACAATAGAGGTAATTAGTTAATATTATTGGCGTACATAATTCCTAGAAGCTAATTATTTCTTATTTATGCAACTGACACCACTGTATTCTGTAGATCAAAAGGCTGCCTTTCGAACACGAGTGTCCTACTACCAAATTCCAAGAAACAAAGATGGCCAACCAAGGTTGGTGTGCAGATAATTTGACAGATTGGCTGAAGAAGAATCCAACCAAGGGTGCAACTGACTGCAAGGAGAAGTTGGAGGGTGACTTTGGCATCCAATTGAAGTACTCCAAAGCATGGTCAGGTATGCAGGTAGCCTTAGACCAGATACATGGTAAATATGATGAGAGCTTTCAGTTGCTTTTTAATTGGGCTGCTCAAATTGAGCAAGTTTCTCCTGAGAGTTTAGTAGAGATAGAGGTGGAGAAAATAGGTGAGAAACACAGGTTCAAGAGGATGTTTGTAGCTCTTGCTCCATGTATTCAAGGATTTTTGGATGGGTGCAGACCTTTCATTGGTGTAGATGCTTCCTGTTTGAATGGTAAATATAAAGGTCAATTAGCTTCTGCTGTTGGTGTGGATGGACATAATTGGCTATACCATATAGCTTATGGAATTTTTGAGTCGGAAACTGAAGATAATTGGAGATGGTTTTTGGACCAGCTGAAAAGGAAGATAGGAGATGTCCCAAATCTGGTTATATGTTCAGATGCATGTAAAGGACTAGAAACTGCAGTGGGGGTTGTTTTCCCACTAGCTGAGAACAGGGAGTGCATGAGGCATTTGTATCAGAACTTCATGAAGAAATACTCTGGTGATGTGTTTACTGATCACTTGTACCCTGCAGCTAGAAGCTACACAAAGTGGCTATTTCAGTGGCATATGAAGAGAATTGCAGATTTTGAACCTAAAGCCATTGAATACCTTGAGAACCACCACAACAGGATCTGGTATAGGTGCAGCTTCGGTGAGAATAGCAAGTGTGACTACTTGACAAATAATGTATCAGAGAGCTTCAATGCACAAATAAAAAAGTTCAAAGGATTGTTGTTGCATGAATTGGTGGACAGAATCAGAGAACTTATAATGGAGAAGAGATATGCAAGGAAGATGATTGCTAGGCAGTGGGCAGATGGAATCCTACCTAATGTGATCAAGGAGCTCAACTTGATCAGCAATAATCTCAAGGTTGTGAAGATTGTTGTTAGTGATGTTGATATGGCTGAAGTAACCATCTTAGATGACTGGAATAATCAGAAGAGGGAGACAGTTGACCTAAAGAACCATAGTTGTGGCTGCAGACAATGGCAAGTGATAGGGAAACCATGCAAACATGCATTGGCTTGGATTTTGTCTAATAGAGGGCTAAGAATTGCAGACTATGTACATGAGTACTACTCAGTGGCAAGGTTCAAGGCAGCCTATGAGCAAAGAATTGAACCAATCCCAGATAGGTCACAGTGGCCAGTTGTGGAATTGCCATTCAAAGTACACCAACCCTTGCTAGGCAGAAGTGCAGGAAGACCAAAGGTTCAGAGACAGAGAGGTTGTTTGGAGAAAAGGGCTTCCAAAAAAAAGGTCAAATGTAAGAGATGTGGAAATTTTGGACATTTTGGAAAAACTTGCAAACTAGCAGAGGTTGGAAAAGATGGTGAGAGAGCTCCAGCAAGGGGAAAGGCAAATAAAAGGTATGTTTGTGTAACTTGTTTTACTCGTTTTCAGTTGTTGTCACTTGTTTTCACTTGCTAATTGCAATATATATATATAAGAAAAGAGACCAAACAAATGAAGCTGGAGCATCCCAAACAAATGAAGCCGGAGCCTCCCAAGCCAAGAAATTGAAGAAGTGCACCAGCAAAAAGAAGAAAAAGACTCCCGTGAAGAAAAGGCTCATGAAGGCTGCAGCCAACCCTCCTGTGACTGTAGTTAGTAGCCTTAGGAGGCTGGTCTATGAAGACTAGAGCCATGTTATCGCCTCATAGTGTCTATGAAGGCTGCTTTTGTGTAATGAAATCAGTGCTTGTAGTTGGTTTGCTGGACCATAGATGGCATGCTCCTGTGTGGTCTTAGTGTGTGGTGTGGTTGAACCCTTTTATTTGGAGTTGTTGGAGCAACATTGCCGTGAACCCGTTTGTCAATTAAGTGGTTGCTACATTAAGACCTTTTATTTTGTGCTGTCAATTAAGCGGTTGTCATGAAATATGCAAGTTGTCATATATATGCAAGCTGTCATTTTTTTTTTTTTTTTTTTTTTTTTTTTT